GGAAGGGCCGGGCGGCAGGGGAAGGAGGTGAGGGAGGCAGGCCCTAGGGGTCTCCCCGCCACACCGCAGAGCCTGGGCGGCCGCCGTCTACACCTCCGAGGCCCACCTCGGATGGGCCCAGGAGGGGAGGGGTTCAGCCTCGGTCTTGGCTCCCGGGCAGGTGGACACCACGGAGCAGCTGAAGAGGATCTCGCGCATGCGGCTGGTGCACTACAGATACAAGCCGGAGTTTGCAGCCACAGCGGGCATCGAGGCCACGGCACCAGAGACCGGTAGGGACCAGCCTGCGCGGACTGGGGCTGGGGTCCGGGAACCGGCAACCTCGGCCCTCAGTCACCCCGCCCCCTGTCCCAGCCCTCTGGAAACCCCACTCCCAGGCACCCCTCTCCTTGACTCCTGGAACTCCTACCCAGGGAATCCTGCCCTCTAGAAGCCCCACCCCTCAGCCCTTGGAAAATCGGGCCTCCCCGGGTGTCGGCTAGCTACCCCCTTGACACTAGAAGTCCGGGAATCCTGGTCCCGGGATCCTCGGCTTTTTAGGTGAATCCTGCTTTTATCTCTGCCCACTTCCACTGGGATCCTTCCTCCCAGGAATCCACCCTTGCCCCAGGCCAGGGAACCCCATACCTGAGCCCCGGAACTGCAACCTTCTGAACACTTGTCTGTCGGAGCTCCCTGCTCCAGGGTGCCTTGGATCCCAAATCTCTAGCCCCCAGAATTTCGCCCTCCTCAAACCGGGCCCCCTCCTTACATGATGGTGCTGTGGGCGTTCTCCACCCCACTCCCCTGCCCCCCAACTCCCCAGGTGTCATCGCCCAGGAAGTGAAGGAGATCCTGCCTGAGGCCGTGAAGGACACTGGAGACTTGGTCTTTGCCAATGGGAAAACCATAGAGAACTTCCTGGTGGTGAACAAGGTCTGCAGGGTGGGAGGACTTGGGGGGCCCAAGGGCACGGGGTGGGCCAGCTGGAGGGCGTTCATCTCCCCCTTGGAGACTGGGAGCGTTGAAGTGCAGGGGGTGAGGGCAGCCCAGTCTTCTCTCACGCATCCAGAGCCCCCTCCCCACCCCCCAGGGAAGGGGGTGAGCATCCAAGGGCCAGCTGGGGACTTGGCGACACTATGGTTGTGTGGTCTACAGCAAGACGAAGCTCACTGGGGGTCATTTTCCTCCCCTTCGAAAGGAGGTTAAAGAGCCACTGCCAAGACCCTGCAAAGCTTAAACATGGCTTATGGTGAGGGTGAAGTCATAGGTTTTGGCCTCGGCTGAATGCTAAGGAGCCGAAGCGTGCGACCCCACGTTCATGAGATCAGAGGCTGGGCGCCTCCGAGAGACTGTTCCGAAGGGGCAGGAAGGGCCGTTCCGGCTGGACGGGTGGCCCAAGCAATGGTGCAGAGGTGGGGCAGCTGTTTGGAGGCAGGCACAGGAAGTTGGGGGAGCTAGGGCTGGCCTGGGTAGGGAGGCTTGGAGGGCCTCCACGCGGCCGCTCCCCGTAGCCCAGGGCTCCCCGGGGCTGACGGCGCCCACCGCCCGCGGCAGGAGCGCATCTTCATGGAGAACGTGGGTGCCGTGAAGGAGCTGTGCAAGCTGACGGACAACCTGGAGACGCGCATTGACGAGCTAGAACGCTGGAGCCACAAGCTGGCCAAGCTGCGGCGGCTGGACAGCCTCAAGTCCACGGGCAGCTCGGGCGCCTTCAGGTGGGGGCGTGGGCCAGGCGGGGGCAAGACCCCCTTCCCAGAGGCACCTCTGACCCTGGCCCTCTTGCTGCAGCCGTGCAGGGAGCCAGTTCAGCCGGGCGGGCAGTGTCCCCCACAAGAAGAGGCCCCCCAAGGTGGCCAGCAAGGTGAGGGTGGGCACGGATGGGAGATGGGAGGCAGGTTGGGCCGGGCCCTCGCTCTCCAGGCTCTCTGACTGCGAGGGCTCCTCTTTCCTCCCAGCTCTCTAGCTCTCTGGCCCCGTTTCTCCTTCCTCTCCCTCTGTCCATCCCCTCACCCCCACCGTAGGCATGAGACCTTAACACCCCCACCTCCAGCAGAGCCCACACCGAGGGACACCACGGCTCCCTAAGTCTGGGCCTTTTCTGCTTCTTCCCCTTTTTCTGTCGGTCCTCAGTCGTCCTCTGTGGTCCCAGACCAGGCCTGCATCAGCCAGCGCTTCCTGCAGGGAACCATCATTGCCTTGGTGGTGGTCATGGCCTTCAGGTGACTTGTGCCCAGGGCTCCAGGCGTGGCTGGCTGGGGGGAGGTGAGCTGCCCTTGGGCCCAGGCCTGGAGGAAGAGGAAGTTGGGGCTGGGAGATGAGACCTGCCTGAGGTCTCAGGGAAGGAAGCGGGCTGCCTCCTTCTGTCCCATGCCCCGAGGGCGGGGGGAGACCGTGGAGAGGCATCATTCATTCGCAAGCCCAGCCCCTGGAGCCGAGGTCCACAGACCCTGCCCTAGAGAGAGGGCGGGGACCGTGGTGGCAGCTCTAACAGTGGCCCTTTTTTGTGGCTCCCAGCGTGGTGTCCATGTCCACACTGTACGTGCTGAGCCTGCGCACCGAGGAGGACCTGGTAGAAACTGATGGGTATGTCACTGGAGGCCTGGCTGCCGGCCAGGCTGCCAGGACAGGTGGGGCTTTGGTGGGCAGCCCAGGGGCAGCGGAGCTGTGGAAGCTGTTTCCTCTGAAGGGGACGGTGCCTCAGGCTCTCAGCCCGCCCGGGCTTGCAGGGCCGGGTGGGAAGGTCTCCCTGGAGGAGGGGCAGCATTTTCGCGGTCCCTGCTGAAGCCAATGTTTCTACTCAGTGCTCCTTGAGGTAGCTGGGCCTCTGCGAGTCAGGGGGCATCTGAGGGGCCCAGGTTGGAAGGGGGAGTTGGCAGGGAAGGAGGGCCAGGGTGGGACCCCGGGCTCTGTCTGCCCACTGTCACCTCAGCTCCGAGGCTATCTCTGACCATGTCTTTTCTCTCTCCTCCCCTGCACCTGTGCCCCCCGTCCTTTTCCTCTCTGTCGCCCCTTAGCTCTTATGCCGTGTCCACTTCCTGTCTTCTGGCCCTGCTCCGGCCCCAGCACCCTGGGGGGAGTGAGGCCATGTGCCCATGGTACGTGTCTGGACCAAGCCCCCTCCCTCCTACCTCTGGCTCCTGCCATCCAGCTCCCTGCCTGTTTTCTGCCATTCCTGTCCACCTCCTCCTGTCCCTTCTGTCTCTCCTGTCCACTTCTCTGGGACTCCCAGGCCTCCCTGCTCAGGCTCTCGCAGTCCCTCTGAGCTCAGCTCGCCCCTCCCCAGCAGGTCCAGCCAGACCTTCGGGACCACCCAGCTCCGACAGTCCCCAGGGACCACTGGGCTGCCAGGCACACCGCCCTCCTTGCTGCTGGGTGCGTGCTGGGTGGGTCTGGAGGGTGGGGGTGGGGGAAGGGAGCGGTGTTGTGGGCGGGGACTCAGCTGCCCGCCTGTAGCTCATACAGCCTCCGGCTTCCTCAGTTGCCACTGGCCCGACCAGCTCGGCCCCAGGTCCGGTCATCCCCACCTTGGACTTGTGCTCTAGCCGCCCTTGCCCAGTCGTCTGCTGCTCCTCGCCCACCCCCAGCCCTATCGCTGCCCCGAGTCTTGGCCCCAGCTTTAACCCTGGCCACGGGCTCAGCCCCAGTCCCAGCCCGTCCACCAACCGCTCAGGTATGACTATCCCGGGTCCAGGGTTTGGGTTGAGGGGGTTTTATGTGAGTCCTGAGAAAGGCCCCGAAGTCTCATTGGGGGGAGGGTATCCTGGAGCCCAGAATGGGGCTCTGGAGAGATTGGTGGGTCTCCCCGAGGGGACGAAAAGACAGGGGGGTCACCCAGAGTCTGCTGAAGTGTTAGAGAAAGCGGGACAGGAGACAGCCAGTTCCCTCTGCTCAGCCTATCCCTCATTCTTTCCACAGGCCCCAGCCAGATGGCCCTGCTGCCAGTCACCAACATCAGAGCCAAGTCCTGGAGCCTGTCAGCCAATGGTATTGGCCACTCCAAGCATCCAAAGAGCTCCGAGCCTCTGGCCAGCCCTGCGGTCCCCTTCCCTGGAGGGCAAGGCAAAGCCAAGAACAGCCCCAGCCTTGGTCTCCATGGCCGGACCCGCCGAGGGGCCCCCCAGCCTGGCCTGAGCCCTGTTCAGCCCACTCAGGCCCGGGGCCAGCCAGGTACTTGCCCTACCTGCCCCCTCATCTTCTCAGCTCAGCCAGCGAGGCTCCCTGTCCAGGGCACCGCTCAGCCCAGGCTCTGGAAGGCCTGGCGCAGGACTGTCCGTTGGCAGCCATTCGCTGGGCGTTGTGCAGTCCCAGCCATGAGGCTGGGGGCCATATGTAGCTCGCCTCATTCAGTGCTCACACATCCCAGCAAGGAAGGGCTCATCCCCGCGGTTCAGATGGGGAAACGGAGCCAGGTCGTGTGGCCGGGCAGCCGCAGAGCTGGAATCCCACCCCACGTCGGCCCGATGCCAGGGCCGCAGAGGTTGCGGAGGAGGCCAGGGGCCTTCTGGGCTTCAGCCGGGTGGCTCTGCTCTAGGTACTGGGCCTCCTTATCAGCTTTCATTTGATGGGTTTTGTGGCTTAAAGAAAAAAAAAAAAAAAGCTTAGGAACGGTGACTCGCTGAGGTTGAGGTTCAGAGTGATGGGGAAACCCCAGAGGCTCCTGCTCTGTGGCCGGCTCTGTGCAGGGTGTGGGGGTGATGAAGACAGGCACGCCCTGACCCCGAAATGCTCAGAGACCTGAGAACACAGTAGTGTAGTAGCGTGACGGGGCTCTGAGGGGACAGGTAGGCAGCCTGGTGACTGGGGAGGGCACTTCGTCCAGGCTGAGGTGGGGAGGTGATCAGGAAGGCCTCCCTGGAGGAGGTGACATTGGAGCTGAGTCTCTGAAGGACCACAGGAGTTTGCCCAGAAGAGAGACGAGAAGGGTACCTTCTATCTTGTCTGTATCTAGGTATCTGTCCGTGACCCCAGGGGCATGCTGGGTCCTGTGGGGGGTCCTCGCGTGCCTGGGTTGTGCATCACAGAGCTGAAAACGTGCCAGGTCGAGCAGATGTTCTGTGGCCCCAGCTTCCCCTTCCTAGTTGGGGGGGAGGAGGGGCGGTTCAGGCGCAGCCAGCCCGTAGATGACCAAGAAAGCCTTGTCTCCCCCACCCGCCATGTCACACTTCAGTCCCACCCCCACCCAGCCAGCCAGTCTGTGGTGGGTTTATCCACCGAAGGCCACAGGCCCTCACGAGTGGGGTGCTGGTAGGTGTTTAACAGTTGGCTCTTGGGGGAAAAAAGCCCTGATTTGTGGTGACTGCTCCCACTGTGGCTGACTTCAAGCTACCAACTTGATGCCGCTGAACTGAATGTGTTGGAGATGTGTGCAGTCAGGAAAAAGGACTGTGAGCAGGCTCCTATAAGCCCCTGGCAAAGGATATTGAAGACCTGCCCCTGCTCCTGGTGTTCGGGTTCTGTCAAGGAGGCAGACCTCAGGCTCACGGGAAGCGGCTCTTCGTAGTGTCGCGGGGGAAGAGGGTGGTGTGACCCTGGCCACTGTGGGGGTCTGGAAAGAATAACCTGAAACTAACTTATACTAAGGTGTGAGTGACTGAATGCGAGCCTAGCAAGGAACAGCTTGGCTGCTTCTTATTTGTGTCCTGCCTTGTCACCCTCCTCCCTGCCCCCACAGCCTCTCTCCTTGCAGACCCAGTGCCCTCCCTGACCTCCATCCAGGTGCTGGAGACTTCAATGCCCATCACTTCCCAGTACTGCGCTCCAGGGCATGCCTGCAGGTGGGCTTGGCTCCCTCCCTTCACCCCAAGGACAGAGTCCCTCAGGTGCCCTGAGCCCAGGCAGGGCAGATGCCCAGATGCCGTCCCCCTCCACCACCCCCCAAGGTGGGGCAGCCCCTTTCCATGGGCTTCAGTACAGATCTGGGGCTGGGGTGCGCAGGCAAGGGGCCTCAGCAGGGAGCCTTGGTCCAAGGAGCCGTGTTTGCCCCTGCAGGCCTGGAAACTTCACCTACCACATCCCTGTCAGCAGCAGCACGCCGCTGCACCTCAGCCTGACTCTGCAGATGAAGTGAGTGCCGGCACGGGGCAGTGGAGACGCGGCAGTCCTCGGCAACTCGGGGAAGGGGTCTGAGGAGGGATGCTGAGTAACTTCATCCCTTGCTCTGTGCTTGACTGGCTGTGTGACCCTGGCAGCCTCGGGGCTTCAGCTCCTTATCTAGAAATGGCTGTTGCTTCACGGGTGTGAAGACCATGTGGGATGGTAGATGGGAAAGGGCTGTCTAGGGCCTGACTAGGAGGCATCATTTCCGGGCTGTGTGAGGATTCGTGGCTTGTTTTCAGCGGGGCAGGGGAGGTGGTGTGGAGGGCTGGCTGGGGGCGGGCTGGGGTTGAGGAACTCGGAACCCCACTTCCCCACTAACTGGGCCTTCCCCCAGCTCTTCGTCTCCCGTGTCTGTGGTGCTGTGCAGCCTGATGTCAAAGGACGAGCCGTGTGAGGAGGGGGGCTTCCCACAGAGCCTGCACACCTACCAGGACACCCAGGTAGGAGGCGACTGGGAAGCTGGGGGCCAGTCAGGCCCCAGAGCTTCATCTTCCCTGGCACAACTGGGCCCCCAAACAGGTGAAGAGAAGGAGCCGGGAGTCTCCTTCTCCACAAGGGACCCTTAAGGCCTGGGCCTCTGGGCTCACCGCGGCACATCTCCCGGCCCTGTCCTTGCTCTGTCCCATCCCCAGCCCGGCCCTGACAAGAGCCTCTGGCAAGGAAACAGTTCCACCAGGACTAACCTGGAATGAACGCAGTGGTGGGGATGAGGAGGGTATTCTAGAGATCCTTGGCAGGGAGAGCTAACCTTGTCTGTGCTCAGGGTCAGAACAGCCACCCCAAGAGTCATGTTTAATGAAGACGAAACCTGCGGCATGATTTGGGGTCAGCTGGACAAAGAAAAGAGGACACTGTCCCAGGAGCAGAACAGCACGTGCAGAGGTTTGGAGGCCCGGGAATGTGTGGCCTTCTGGCAGAGCTGGACACGTGGCAAAAGGCTAGGAGTTGGGGAACAGGAAGGAGCCTGGTCCTCAAGCTCAGGCTGGGCAGCGGCACGCTTCAGTCCTCCGGTTTGGAAGATCTCTCAGCCTACCTTGTAGAGGCCTACCTCCTGCTCTGAGAACCAAATGACCATGACCCTTTCCTTGTCCAGCTCCTCACTGGCCACGTGACCCCCATGTGACCCAAGTTGTGACTCTCCGCACAAGTAAAGGGAATTTCTTCTCACCAATTCATGTTTATTCAACAAAAATGTATTGGGGTTCCTCTGTCCCAGGCCCTGTGCTGGGCCCATCTGTGGGGAGATGGGGGTACGGGGGGCAGGCGGGCGAGGAGTGGGGGTGGACCCAGGCCTTGCCTTGGAAGAATGCACTCCCTAGCCGGGAAGATGTGCAGAAAGTCACTTGAGTGGGTGAGAGCCTCGAAAGAGGCGCAGGCAGAGGAGAGCACACCCGCGAGTAGAGGGAGAGCCCAGCCAGCCGCTCTCAGGATGCGGAGCTCAGGCCCGGGGCCACATATGGGGAGGCCACGCCAAAGCCTCAGCTGGGACATGGGCAAGCTGTCTGAAGGCGGGCCTCAGGCTCCCGTGCAAGGGAGAGAGCATGACAGCGCGGGGGCCTGTGTGTCAATCCCCGCTCTGCCACACGGTGCCGTGTGATTCAAGCAATAGCTCAGCTTCCTCATCGATAAGCAGCATCACCTTACTGGGTTGGGGTGAGGATGGGGTTCATGAAATAGTCTGTTGTGCCTGGAGCATAACGGGGAGGGAAGGCAGCAAGGGACAAGGCAGGGACCAGGGGAGGGCAGCTTTGGACTTGCGTGAGCCTGGCTCCGAGTCTGCGTAAAGGGTGCCACTGCTCCCCAAGGCAGAACGTGCTCCCTCCCTTTCTCTTCCCAGCTCTGACTTTAGCCTCCCTAACACTTGCCCTGGAGCCCAGGGCTCCTGGCTGGGATAGGGCCAGGGGGCTGTCTTCACCCATCCCTCTCCCCTTTCTCCAGGGCACTTCCCACCAGTGGCCAGTAACAATCCTGTCTTTCCGAGAATTCACCTACCACTTCCGGGTGGCCCTGCTGGTGAGTACAGGCACCCCATCTGTCCCCAGAGGCCCGGGCACCTGCATCTCAAGTGTGGGGCTTGGGGAAAGGATGTGGGGGTTCCCAGAGCACATGGCAAGACCTGGGGCGCAATGCCGGGTGATGTGGCCGGGGGGGGGGAACTGCTTCCTGCCCTGCACCCCGAGCCATCTCACCCGTTCCTGCTGCCCTCCCCCGCAAGGGTCAGGCCAACTGCAGCGCGGAGGCCCCGGTCCGGCCGGCCACGGACTACTACTTCCATTTCTACCGCCTGTGTGACTGAGCGGCCTTCCCGGAGGCGGCACCACACCCGGGCCGGGGCCCCGCGCCCCTTCCACACTGGACGCCATGGCGTTACACTGGAGCCCGCCGCCCGCCAGCTCTCTGCCGCTCGCTGGTGCTCCCTCGGAGAGACTGAATCGGGCTTGGCCCTCCCCACGACTGGGGAAACTCGTCGGAGTCCTCACACTGGAGTTGCTGTTCCTGCTGGTCGCCCCTCATACACCACAGGGGGAGCCCGAGAGACCCCCTGGGGCCAGGACCGGACCACGTCGTATCTGTCCAGATATGGTGGTTGGAGGGCTGGCTGCAGGGGCCCTGGAGGCAAGGGTAAGCCTGTGACCGTCCAGAGCCTATCCTCCCACTCTCCCCTTGAGACTGCGAGCCACCCCTCTTCTGGAGTGGGGACTTGGCTGGAGCCCTAAAAGACTTGGCTGGATCCATGAGTCAGCGGAGAGCATACAGCCCTCACCCTGGAAGCTGCTCCCTGGGGGGTGGCGAGGTAGTGGACTTTTTGGGGTTTGACTGTTACGCTGGACTTGGGACTTTGAAGCTTTAAGTGTGGCCCAGGAGGTGTCTTCTCCCGGGGAGCACTGGCTCCCAAGAGCTCCCAGGGCAGCTGAAGCCAGCTCTGGAGGGGTTGCAAAGACTGACCATGTGCCTTATGTATACTTAGTGCCTGGCTGAACCAGTGCGGGGGCCGGGGGGCCAGGTCACCCTTGGGCCCTTGAACCTGGAGTATCCTGGAAGTTCCCTGCGAGCTCCCCCAGCTGGGTGTTGTGGCCCCATGGCCTGGGCTTCTGGGAGCTTCCAGAGCTTGCAGTGGTATCAGTGACCTATCATTCTCTCTGAGCAGAGGAGCAGGAATCCCTGTAAGGCAGCAGGCTGGTCTTGGCTGGTGCGTGGAGACAGATAGCTTTTGCTGTTATTAATGAAGTAATTACTAAAATGCACTTAAGCCAGGGCACGAGTGGAAGGATGGAGATGGAAAGGCCAGAGAGGTGCAGAGCCCTGGGGAAACACAAAGACAGGGCCCTCGCTCTGATCCACCCCAGGGAGGCTTGAGACACCCATCTCACTCCCAACCACTAAGACTCTGGCTTCTCCCTCCTCTCTTGTCTGCTGGCAACCTTGTCTCCCCAAATCAAGGGCTCCCATGTCGGGCTCGGCAGCAGATTCCATCTCCGCCCTCTCCTCCCGGACGTGGAGCAATGGGCTTGCGTTACCGAAGAAGTCTTAACTCAAGTGCCAATGTTAAAGTAACCGGTCTTGGTGGGAGCCTGGAGTGTTCTGAGGCCACATCCAGGCTCACAGGAGTGTGGAAATCATTTAGCCACGGCTACACAGGTTCAATGAGGGGAACAGGAATTGCCATTCCTGCCCTGTGGTGTTCTGCCACCTCTCTGGGAACCAGGCCTTACCCCTCTCATTCTCAGCTTTGAATGGGAGGCCTTTCTGTGGGGAGCTGCAATCTCGAAGAAGCCTGTGAAGTGCGGGCCCCCTTCTGCCGTGGGTCTCAAAGCACTTATCCTCAGGGGAGCTGGGGGAGAGGGATACCCCGCCTCCTAGCTCCCTCCCCAGTGTGGCTCCCCTCCCTCATTCTAACATAGGAATTACGTGGCTGCCCACACCACGCAGGGAGCCAGGGAGCCAGGCCTTCCGCAGGACTACTCTGTTCTCTCTCCACTGTCCCCCTCTGCGGGGAACCCTCCCTAAATGCCTTAAAACTGCTGAGCCCCACCCTTTGCAATAGGATTCTGGGGCTTCCTCAGTGAGGGTGCCTGTCATTGGACTGTGGCCCCTCAGTCCTTAACTGGAAAGTGACCCTCCATTGCCCCCTGGAGCCCTTCCAGACACAGCGTAGCCCCAATCTGGTAGCAGCCGGCTGTTTCCATGCCTGAGGAGGGGTCCTCAGTGCAAGGATTGGGGCCAAGCTGGGGCTCCAAGCTGCTTGGGTGGGTGGGGGGGGGGGTCAACCTTGGACCAAAGTTGCCTTAAGCCCATGAAGGTAAAAGGGCTTCAGGGGAGGGGAGTGGGTCACCTGCTGGAGGCTGACAGCTGCCTGCCTGGCACTGGTAAGTGGGGGTCTTGGCTCCATTCCCTACATGGGGTCCAGCAGCCATCCCTCCCTTCCCTTTGGCATTTATTCCTGGAGCCACTGGGCTAATCTCCCCCAAGCTTCAAGCTGTACATAGGGCCTCTTAATGCACAAATTCCTCTGCCCATATTGTACCCCCCCCCCAAAAGCCTGCATGTGCATAGAGCGCCCCTCCCTCCCAGTTAACTCCCAGTTCCTGTTCCTGAGTGCTGACTCATATTTATCATGTACCAACTCTGACTCTGGAGTGGGCAGAGGGAAGCAGCCCTGGGCCTGCTTGCTTCCTGTCCCTGTTCTTTCCTTCTGAAGTAAATATACATATATAAATAAATGTAAAAACATGGCTTTGTATCTGACCTTGCCTCCCCATCTCTTCTTGAGACTGTTGTGGTAGAAGATGGAGTTGCCTGTGGGGCTAAGACCAACTGGAGTTCTGGGGTTCCTGAGCCAGATGAATGCCTTGTATCCCATTATCCTTCTTAGCTTCACGCTAGGCTTGGGAACAGGACTCAGCAGCTCCCTCCCCTGGCCACATCCCATGGACCTACTGCTGCCCCCCCCCCCGCCCTCCCCCCGGGGTAAAGGAGCCACCCTAGGATAAACAACCTCTGGGCACAAGCTGAGCCTTGTGAAGGTCCCCAGCACACAGAAGGGTGCCTACATTTAGAGGATGGGATTGGCCCAGGGCAGACTTGACTGGTGCGGGTTCCCAGACAAGTCTGCTCTAAAAACAACAGAAGAGGATAGGCCTGGCCCCTTCCTATCCACAGAGCTTTAAATTCCAAGGACAGACACCCCTCCCATACCCTCCTCACCCCTCACACATAGAGAAAGCAGGGTTTCCCAGCAGGAGGAACCATCTGAAAGGCAGAAGAAAGATGGGAAGGGGTGGGACCGGGCAAGTCACATGGGTCCCGGAGCCACCCCACCACTGCTCCACCCCTGCGGAATGGGTGCCAGACAGACGGTCACACATCTGCCTTTATTGGGAGCAGCAGGTGGGACATTTCCAGCAACAGTAAAAAAATTAATTTACAAAAGCAGGAATTCAGTGAAGCTCCTGGTTGGAACCTGAAAGAGGAGAGGGGGTATCAAAATGAGACCGATGACCCTTCTTTCCACCTCCTTTTCTCACTGGACCCTGTGCTCCTGGGGCAAGGGCTGATGGGCACACTACTCTGAAGCTGAGCCACCAAAGCCGATTCTCAGTGACCTGTTCAGTGGATTATCTGCAGCGAGGGTTTTGGGGGTTTTTTTAATCACTTAGTCAAGATTTATTTTACTCACTGAAAACATTCAAACTAACCACAACGGTACTCCTAGATTCTGACCCCCTTCTAATCCATTCCCAAGCAGCCTCGCCAGGTCAATGGTGTATGATGTGTAAGGATGCAAATGTCTAACATGGGAAGACTGTGCGCACAGCCCTATGAAGTGTATCCCAAAGCCCCGGGCCGTGTGCAGAACTCAGAATGAAAATGTAGGTCTCAGATCCCCATTTGGGACAGGGAAAGAGGCACACGTGCCTGGTGTCCCTCTCCACTCTGCTGAGTCTGTCATCATTAACCAAAGTCTTCCACAGGCCTGAGGACCCCGCTGATGCAGACGTGGGAAGCTTCTGTAGTGCCCACCTTCTCACAGCTCTTACCCTTGGGAACTCATACGTAGATGCCAACCCAGAGCAGCAGGAAGAGGACTCCAAAGCCCATGAAGAGTGAGGCCACCAAGGAGATGAGGAGCTCTTTGTAGATATCCCGAGTGTACTTGGTAGAGGTAACCTCATAACTGGCAGGGTGATTAAGGAGAAGCAAAGGGATGGACTGCCTAGGACAGGAAGCCTGGCCAGTGCAGCTCTGGGAAAAAGGTACAGGGTGAGCCTTCTAGAAGGCTTGCCTGGCTCAGTGTCGCCAGGAAGAGGGGCCTGAGAGACGACCTGGACTCTTGTTGCTTCATACCAGCCCTCAACCACCCATGGAGAAAATCTGCCCAGAGGGGTTAGGTCACTTACCCCAGGTCACACAGCTAGTGACCAGTGGAACTGGCACTAGCCCTCAGATCTCCTGCCGCCTGAGCATACCCTTTTACCACTTTCCCAACTTCAGATTCCCTATCCCCAATCTCCAGTCCGGCCAGGCCTTCTGTTCACTATCCTGGAAATCTGAAGAGCAAACTGAGCTCCCCTGAACTTGGGAAATAAGGCCAGCACCTGACCTTGGACATCAACAGCTTTTCTTCAATCTCCTTACCTTCCCCCTACCCCCACACCAGAGCAAAACTGGCAGGGTGCCTGTACCCAGCATGGTTTCTCCCTCGGTTTCCCACACTGCTAATTCTGGCCCACTGGCTGCTCAGTAAAAGGATACACGAAGAACCAGGCGGTAAAGAACATGCCAATTGCCAACAGCACCACGGTCAGATGGGGGAAGACAGCAGGGTTCACTGGGCTGGTATATCTGCTCATGGCCTCGAGCTCCTAAGGGAGGGCATGAGATCAGAGCTATCAAAGAATCCCAGGACTTAAACCTGAGGGGGAGTGTGAGGTCATCAAGGAGCCTCCTCCTCTAGGGCTGTTAAAGGTCTGTTTCAGCCTGGGAAATACGGAAGTCCTTCAGAACCAACATCAAGCGATTCCATTTGTAAATGATAACAATGACATCTTAAACTAAGGTGACGCTTTGCTTTTTCAATATGAGACAAGAAGGGCAGCTAAGAGTCAGAGGCTGACACAGAAGGTGATGGATTAGCTATCGATCAGTGGTCCCTAACATTTTTTGAGACCACTGATGACTATGAAAAAAAAGTATGGACCCTGCCCAGGGTAAACCAGAAGCAAGAAAAAGTTTGCCTATAATTTTAGGAGCTTTATGGACCCATGTCTGTAGACACCAAGCTCAGAATCCTGCTGTAATTCAGAGCCTGGGCCAGGACCCAATCTCAACTTCTACATCTCTAATTTTCACACTACGCTATTGTGAAATCTCAGGATCTACTGGCAAAAGACTTCAGTTAATAATCTGGCTCTACTGAATAATATGAATCTCAGTAAAATAGTTATAATAACACCACTCACAGAGTTGATGTGTGATTTAAGAAAGATGACGAACGTCAAAGCATCTAGCTCACTTCCTGGCATAGAGTAGTCATTCAAAAGGTGTTTGTTTCCTTCCCAAGCTTACAGGGAAGATTATGAGATAATGCTTGTGAAGGAGGGCTGTAAACGTAAAGTTCTGTACAAATGTTGACTTCTATTGTCACTCACCAGCCAACGGTCCTAAAGTCCAGAACATAACAACTCTAGAGAAATAAATGGACCCCATTGTTCTAAGAGACACTGGAATTCAATTCAGTAAACATTTATGCCCCCTCCCCCCCCAAAAAATGATAAAGACAATCGCTGCCATTTATTGGGCCTCCAATTGCAGGCCCTGTATTTGGCACTGGGAACACAAAGATGAATAGACATCATCCCAGGGCTAGATGCACGTCAGATGGTGGTCACTAGGAGGCGTGGCAGATAACAAAGAAGACCGTGACATGTGGCAAGAGGTCTGTACAGAGGTTGTGGGAGCTCCCAGGAGACAGCGGCCAAGTGCCTGAGAGAGTTGGACGTGCTTCACCAAGAAGGTTGACATCTGCCCTGGGCTTTGTAGGATGAGTAGGAGTTCAGCAGGAGGAAGAAATTTCCAAAGAGAGATAACAGCTTAATCACAGGTAACAGGAATAAAAGCTTAAGGTATTAAAAATGCACCTCACACGCCTCACCCCTTAAAAGTCGCGAGATCAAAACCTCAGCCTAACGAGTCCAGGGCAAGGGGCTTCCCTTCCCGTCCCTCCGCTCAAGCCGGAGGATACCGGAGCCTCCCGCTGTCTGGATCTCGGGCGTCAGAGGCCTTCGCGAGAGAAACGGGGTGTGGAACGGGCCCCAAGGGGTCCTCACAGCCCTGCCCGGAACGCCCCAACCCCCTCACCATTTTGCCAGGCACAGGATCATCCGCCGCTCCGCCACCGGAATAACACGTCGGCCGCAGCAGAAGCCCCGCTCAGCGGAAGAGGAAGTGCGCCCGCGCGAGTGGCATTGTGGGATTTGTAGGCCCGTGGGTCAGGGTGTAGCTGGGGCTGGGACCTGTGAGCCCCTGATGTGGAACTGGGGCAAGCGATAGTGAAGGGTAGGGCAGAGCCGCTGAGAGGGTTCGTTCTCCCCGGCGGGACTGTTTGCCACAAGGGGAGCTGGCCGAGGGGGTCGGGCCCTGCACCGCATTTCCCAGGAGGCTGTGCGCGGCGGCGGGTCACGTGACCGGAGCGCGGGCTTTGGAAGGTGGCGGAGCGCGACAGGATCCGCGGCGGAGCTGAGGAGGGTGCGGGGCTGAGCACCGTCCTGGGCAGCACGGGACCGAGCGCTAGCTGTCGAGACCTCGCGCCCCAAAGGCCAGGTGAGACCTCATGGGAAGTGTCTTCGAGGGCGGCGGGGTCCGCCTCGCTCTGGGTGCTGTGGGGGGCCGTCTGCCGCGCGCGGGGCGAAGGCCGGAGCGCGGGCCCGCCACCTTCCCGCTGTGCGACTTGGACCGGTCGCCTAACCTCCGAGACTCTTGCTTCATTTGGGGGAGGGAGGAGAGATAGCTTCCACTTAATGGGGCCGTTGTGTATTTTGACCAAGATCCTGGATGAGAGACATTTTGGAGACTTCACTGGTTTAGATCTCTTTCCCGCCTCCCTCTGTTGGGGGCTGTGGGAGGCTAGCCGGCCAGCAGGCACTGACCTCCCCGTAAGCCTTCTAGCAAAGCAGCTAGCCTGAGGCCGGACCCAGAGGGTCGAATGACCTCTGCGGGAGGAAAGGGTTCCGAGCAGGAGAGCTAGAGGATGGCGGGAGGAGGGCACGGCTGAGCAGCAGTGAGAAAGGGCAGGCCTTATCTCAGCCTTGGCGTTGGCCCCCAGACTGTGAAGGTAGGTTGGGAAGCAAAGCATGGAAGATCTTGAGGACAGGTTGAGGTGTTTGGAATTAAGGCGGGGGGGGGGGGATGTAGCAGGGTCACTTACGCTTTAGAAAGAATCCTGTGAAAAGTGGGAGCAACGAAAAGGTCTAGTGTAATATTTCTTGGACTGTTGGACACATACATGACACAAGATGACTTTAAATGGCACCCAAAAAATCCTTTTTTTTTTTTAAAGATTTTATTTATTTGACAGAGAGACACAGCCAGAGAGGGAACACAAGCAGGGGGAGTGGGAGAGGGAGAAGCAGGCTTCCCGCCGAGCAGGGAGCCCGATGCGGGGCTCGATCCCAGGAC